ATCCGGCGAATTATGAGTTGTTTTGAAAAGTTTTGAGTGTCATTGCTGCGTTTTTGTCCGTTTTCAGAGCAATTTTCCAAGAGACAGATTTTTCCCCCTTTCGTCCGCCATATTGGATTGCTCATGAAAATAGTCTCTAATGCGCATGCGTCCGGTTTTTCCGCTCTGTCTACTGAGCCAAGAATATAAGAGGCAGTCAAAATACGTTGATGGGGCTACCTGTGGTAGAGACAAGATGGCGGACGAGAAGGGTGAAAGTGCAGGCCAACCAGATTACAAACGAATCGCTACCAAGATCGCTTCGATTCTTACACCTGTTGGTTTGGAGTCTCATCCTTTCAAGGTAAATGTGAAAATGACCTTAAAAAATAAAATAATAGAACGAGAAAGAACAGTAAATTGGGTATATTAAATAATTTGGAGTTGAATCATGATCGTGCCCGCAAAAAATAATGACAAAAAATATATAATCTTGATAAGCGTCTGTCTTTAAAAAGGAATTAGAAATAGGTCGAAAGAAGCATAATCATAAGAAAAAGAGAAGTTTCTGTGGATGTTTTATATGCAAAAAGGAGAAAAAGCTGGAGCAAGTTCCCTAGGTAGAAAAGAGCTGATTGTTGAAAAACCCACTAAACGGCCTCAAATCGCGCTGAAACTTCGCCAGAATACTGAATAAAGTAAAAGCAACAACTGCAGCAAGTTTTGAGGCAAATTGTTGAGTGAAACACTTAATTGTCATGGCTTTATCATAACTCCCATATATAATTCCCTTATAAACCATACACAGGAACCTTGTTTGGGCTGCATGTGGAACAAGATAGAACAAAGAAAAACTGAAAGTGGGCGAGAGAGGAGCCTTTTTTCAGCAAACAACAAAATTTTAAAAAGAGGGTAGACCTGAATGGGAAATTTGAAGATGCCATCACTTCTGTACACCTTGAATCCTCTTCTATCAGAGACTGTGGAGATCTAGGGAGTATACCTAGGGTTATACTCACTTTTCAGGGCTGTAACCAGGGGGGAGCACAGGGTGCACGTGCACCCCCTCCTCCATAAAAGCTCATCCACTCATCTATCTCCTTTTGCTTTAAAATTGCATGTAATTTTTTTTTTTTTTTTTGATTTAATTAAGACCACTTTCCATCAGTATATTGTAGCATTTTTAAGGATCACTCACCCATAATCCCTTTTTTTTCTTTGGTTCTGCTATTTTTTGGTTACCTTTTTTATTTTTTGGTTCTCCAAATCATTGCCTGTGCACCTCCCCTGCCAAATCCCTGGTTATGCCCCTGCTTTTGGTCCTATAAATAGGTCTTCTATATTTTCAAATCTAGCTTCCCTACTCCCAATGCAAACAAACACACACGCACACACTTTTAGGGTGCTTTTCAGTGATTTGTATTTACTTACAATTATTATACTTCATATTTTAGATTGGATGGTACAATGACCTATTAACTCACAAAAACTTCTGCTTCGACTACAATCCAGATACTCTTGCTTTCATTATCATCAGCACCCCAGAAATGTTCGAACAAGGATTCAAACCGTTTGTCATCAATAAATTTGATTGTCTAGCCACACCACGAGACCCTATAGATGAGTTTGTGAGCCAGGTGTTTTTAAAAGTCAAAAATGAATTTCCAGAATTCGATGTTGAACCAATACATGACTTTGAGGTGCATCCAAACAGGAGGCCGAAAGTTCTCGTACAGACGGCAGCCCATGCTGCTGGAGCTGCGTATTTTTATCAGCRCCAGGATGTCACCAATGACCCTTGGGGTGAAAAGAAGAAGATCTATGGAGTGTCTGTTCATCCAAAATATGGTGGCTGGTTTGCTATGAGAGGAGTTTTAATCTTCAAGGATGTTCTAGTACCTTCTCTTCCAAGATCTGAACCACAGGATGTCGTTGTGGGGGATGAAAAAAGAATAGAATTGCTAGAAAAGTACAACTTCCACTGGAAGGATTGGAGCTTTAGAGACATTGTTCCAGCTGCTTCGAAATATTCAGAGCAGCAGAAGAAGTATTTTGCTACTCTGCCAGCCAATCGTAAGGAGTTGTTAAATGAAATTCTGGAGGCTTAGAAGTCACTAAAACTCAGGGTTTGCTAAAGATAAAGCTGTGGAATTTTTTTAAAACTATAAAGTTAAACTGGGAAGCTAGGAAATGGACTTGTAAACACTGAATAATGCATGGTTATTGGTTAGAATAATACCTAAGTTTTCTTAAATTATAATGAACTACTACATTGTTCTGATTGCAGACTCGTTTACTCAGGGAAAGCTTTATTCATTCTCAAAATATTCACTAATAATTTCCAATGGTAAAAAATATGAAAGAAGCAGAGCTTTAACAATACAAGCACTGCAACTGAACATTCACTGAAACATAATTATTTTGTGTAAAAATGAGGCCAAGGCACCCTAGGTTTCAGAGGCTCTATCACTGCAGTGCTTCTTGGCCATAAGTTTCCCAAGAAGCAAGAAGAGTGAGAGAGTCTTTGGACCACAGGGTACAAGCTAAGGCTAACCCTGAGCAACGGAGAACTCGCAGTATTTCAGATTACAGTGCGAATCGAAAAACCGTGGGCACCTAGAAATATTCTAGGAATGTTCTATTCTTCTTTGGTCAATTAGAATTGACTTTCTAGCCACAAGATAATGGAAAGATAACAATAACGCTTCTGATTGGCTATTGAACATTCTTGAAATATTTCTCTTGTCCACGGTTTTTCAATTTGCACTGTAATGTGTAGGTGAGAATAAAAAAGTAAAAGTATTTTCTATTTAAATAAATTTTGATATTTATTTGCTGCAGAGTGAAGTCATTAAACCTGTGCAATAGATGTTGGACTAATAGACTTTAGTAGACCCTAATTCCATTGTTTTCTTTTGTGTCTAGTTGAATATTACGTGCTGACTAGTATCTTTCATTTCACGAGTTAAATGCTTTCACTCTAATGCATAACATTATTTAAAATAGTTTTGTTAAACCTGGTTTTGGTTCTAAATGACTCTTGTGTGATAATGATTGCCTCATTGACTCAAGGTTCAATGGGTTTTCCAGAACTGGGCACTTTATCTGTTTGGTTTAAACCAACACCAATAGAGCTCTTTAGTTTGAACATGATATTTTCCCATTTCAGACAAAATATCATTACCTTGAATATAAATTGAGAAGACACATGGACTTGGATAATGACTCAATTAAGAAAATAATAAGAATGTAATGATAAAAGGGTAAATTTTATACCGTGAAAAGATGATGTTTCGGACGCCAGTCCTTCGTTGGAGTAAAAGAGAAAGAGGTGGTAGAAAGGAGTGAGAATAAGACAAAAGAAACCAATGAGAACAAGTTGGGCAAGGAAACTGTTTCATTAGAAACACTGATGCAGCTCACACTAGTTTTTAGCTAGTTATCTCTTCTTAGAAATAATAAGAAATAATGTTATTCTCAGGACAATGACACATGGTCTGAAGGTAAAAAGGTCTAAAATGTTCTGGTAGTAAGTAATGGATCAAAAATATGCCAACAGTCTATTTAGTATGATGAAGTATTCAGCATTTAAGACAAGCCAAGCCATGCATCTCAATAAGATTGTAATGTAAACCTTTAATTTGTAATATAAACTTATTTAACACTGGTCAATATATGTATCTATGGAATTTTAAATAAACATATACATAAATAACTATATTCATAAATAGATATTAATTCAAAAATCTGTATATTACCCTACCAATCACTCCTAACTTTTCTATACAAAAAGTGTTTCTCGACACTATTGCCCTGAAAGCAGGGGCTTAGGCAGGGGAACCAAGGGGGGTCGCCCCCGCCCTCCCCTTTCCCCCACACACACCTCGTGGCAACAAAATGGTGGCTTTTTAGAATTTATATAGTAACTTTCAGCTTTAATTAATGTTGTAAAAATAAAATGTGAAATGTAATGGCACAATTTTTTTTGGGGGGGGGGGGGGTTTTGCATTTTTGGGGGCTCAAACAAAATGGCAGTTTTTTAAAATTTCGGCCTCCCCCTTCAGGAAATCCTGACTATGCCCGTGGAAAGGTAGATAGAGGTCTTTACCTTGAGTAAATTGTTTTCTTATTTCAGACGATGTGCCATTCACTAGTCTTTATCATTACTTATCATAGATTTTGCTAGTTCAAGTACTCTTGGAAATGTACTCTTGATATAAAACATGTACACATGTGCATGTGTATAGAGAGGAAATGGTACATTGCCCCACCCCCCACTCCCCCATGACCAAGACCTCAGCACATCCCTGGCCATACATATATACTCTTAACTTATTTGGAACTAACTTAACATTATTTGGAACTAAGTTAATGTACAACTATGTRCAAAACACCAAATAAAAATATGTCTGTCTGTCTATGTCTGTCAGTCTGTCCCTGGCCTGCAGAGCACTCTGTTGGGGGCTTAAAGTCTGGGGGAATATTGAGACTTAGAAATTTAGCTAGCCTCCCCCTTGGTGGTCCATGTAGTTGTAATGGTGCATAAGAAGAAACAATATGGATATTAAACAAACTCAAGTACAGAATATGTTATTCTCAGGAAAATGGCACATGGTCTGAAATGGGAAAACTTGCAAAAAAATGAACAAAAGTTTAACATATTGAAAAAAGTCACAATTCCTCTGGTAATCTATAAAGCATGATACCTGGCACAGGGAAAAAACGGATTTCCAAATTGGGAATTGTTGGGAATTTCCTTCTAATACCCAATAGAAAAACAAAATTCCCAACAAACTAACATTGGGAATCAGTGCCACATTCCCAACTTCCTTCTCTCTGGGAATTCAGAAATTCCCAACCCAATTTGGGAATCCGGTTTTTTTTCCTGTGTGGATRCATAACAATAACATACTATTAAACAAATCACTCATGATTGTAAGCTGCACGGCTGCTACTCAAGTGCATTAATATGCAGCCCGTAAAGTCCTCCACTGATCTTGTAAAGCGCCTTGATGCTATATAAATTCGAATCATTATCATTATTATTATTATTACCTCTGTTTCTTGTCTCTCTGAAAGAAATTCAAAAAAATCAAAAGCGAAACGCCTTTCCGGTTTGGTGTCAGCTCTACATTAACTAAAAGCGGAAGCGTCACGCAACGACAAGAACGGAAATGTAACACAACAAAAACTCGACCCAGTACACATAACACCCAGCCACGTCGATCATCGTTCTTCGTGTCGGCTGTCACGTTTGTTTCTGATAATGGTTGTTCGTTCTGTGGTGAAAACTAAGACTTTTGAAGGCCAAAAACCCGGTACTTCTGGGCTCAGAAAGCCTGTATCTGTATTTCAACAGATCCATTATACGGAGAATTTCATCCAGGCTACATTAGATGCGATCCCAGAGGATCAAAGAAAAGGTTGTACTCTCGTTGTTGGAGGAGATGGGAGATTCTTCATGAAAGATGCCATTCAACTCATCGTTAAGATTGCAGCTGCTAACGAGGTGTAAAATCACCCAATATTAAGCTTTTATTACTGCATGAAATATTTAAGAAATGTCTTATTATGATATACAAAGAATACGAAAAATTACAAAAACACCTAAACGTGAAGGCTTCTATTATAGATGAATATAAATCAAAACAGCTTTTGTTAATAACTGCTACAAATCTATCTGTAGCTTAGTTTTCATCATTATTTTAACTGTGGAAGCTTTGCAGTTAGTTGAATCCACATATGACTTAAAATCGTTGATTTTTTAACCCCATCTAATGAAATGCTTCCAGTATCGCTAGTCCAATATTTATATCTGTATTTCAACAGATCAATATTCCTAATACTTATTTAGGAATTTGTAACAAATTGCTAAGAAAATATTTTACTCATTATCATTTAATTGTAAATTTTCCATTTATGATTTCTATTTTCCTAATCTAATTTATTTTATTTTTATTTTATGATTAAATACTTGGGCTACCTGGGTTTAGGATTTCCAAAGGAAGCCCAGTAACTGTTCAATAAGGATTGTAGTTACTGCATTGATATTTATTTGAAATAATACCTGATGCCGGTAAAAACGTGTGATTGGTTAATGCAGTATGGTTTTCAGCTGAATTTAACGCAGGCGCCTGTGTTTTTAAGCTGTGTCGGTATGTGTAGGGCTACCTGTGGATTTGGCTGAAATTTTTGTGTCAAAACATGGGTGTTCACACGTCCAACTCTAGAACTATGGCTATGCTACTGCATTCAATATTTCTTATTTTTCCTTAATTACAAGATTGGAGAATTGGTGATAGGGAAGGATGGTATATTCTCCACTCCAGCTGTATCATGTGTCATAAGGAAGATCAAAGCACAAGGTACAGTATGTACATCTGTAATATGGTGTTTGCATTATGGTTTTGTGTACTACAAACTATTCCCCTATCCATCCATCCGTCTGTCCATCTGTCCGTCCATTCATCCATCCATCCATCCATCCATCTGTCCGTCCGTCCATTCATCCATCCATCCATCCATCCATCCATCCGTCTCTCCATCCATCTCTCCATCTCTCCATCCCTCTATCCATCCATCCATTCATCCATCCATTGAGATAAGTGTTCAAGATATATTCTTACGGATTGTTAATAGTTTTTTAACTTCGAAGGGCTGACAATTTTCCATTGTTATCTTTCTATATCGTTATATGGAATCAAGTTTGGTTGCAAGGAATACGACGAGAGGTGATAGTCTTGGTATGGTGAAAAATGG